CAAGGCCTCCTCCCCCAACATCTGCCTGCCTCCCCCCTCCTTCTGCAGTTTCAATGAGATCAACAAGTTCCACACCCAGATCCTGCGGGTCAAGGACCGTGATGAGTTTCCCATGATCCTCGTGGGCAACAAGGCCGACCTGGACATGCAGCGCCAGGTGAGGGGGCTCTCCTGCAAGATGAGGAGCTGTATGGGGCCCACACAGCCCCCCAGGCTGCGTGGGGTCAAGCCAGCAGTGACCCTGCCAAATGGCACCCAGACAGGAAGTGCCACCCCTGACCGCCATCTTGAATGTTGTCTAGACAGGAAGTGCTGCTGCATGTGCGCCACTGGTTGCCATCTTGAAATGCTGTCCAAACTGACAGTGCCCACCCAATGGGCTTCATGTGATGAGAACCACTGGCTGCCATCTTGCATGGCTATCCAGGCAGGAGGCGCCACTCTGTGGGCTGTGCATGATCAGAGCTCCTGGCTACCATGTGGAATGGTTGTCTAGACAAGAAGTACTTTTCTGAGGGCCACGTGTGATGTGAGCCCCTGGCCGCTATTGTGAAGAGCACCCAAGTGGGAAGTGCTGGCACTTGGGCCATGTATGATGGGAGCCAGTGGTGGGCACCGTGAATGGTGTCTATAGGAATTGCTACCCCAATGGGCTGTATGTGCTGTGGGCCTATGACAGCCATCCTGCTACCCCCTGGTACTGAGCCAGTGGCAGCCAGCTTGAGCAGGGCCCAGGCAGTATGTGCCCTCCACCCACAGACCACATACACTGTGAGCTGGGGGTGGCTATTGCCAGTGGCATCCCAGGGGGCTAAACTGACCTTGGACTATAGGTGGCCATCTTAAATAACGTCTGGAGAGAAAGGGCCACGCCCTGGGCTTCAAGTGATGGGAACTACTGGCCACCATCTTGAAAGGCATCCAAGGGGGAAGTGCTGGTCCCTGAATCCCAGACATCTGGGTTCTCAAGGGGGTGTCCTTCTCCTCAACCAGATGTTCAGAAGCTGTTTCTAACCCCTCCCATTCTCATGCAGGTGCCCAAGGAAGAGGCACTGGCTTTTGCCCGGGAGAATCGCATCCCTTACATGGAGGCCTCGGCCAAAATCCGCCTCAACGTGGACGAGTCCTTCCACGAAGTTGTCAGAGCCATCAGGTATGGGGTTCCAGGGTAAATTTTAGCTTAGGGCTCCTTTAGAATGGGAGATATTCTCCCCCCCCCCAAAAAAAAAAAAAAATCCCAACCAAATGAACAAACAAAAAACAAACCACCAAGAGGCCAGCTTCCCTGAAGTGGGAGGACCCTTCTCTGTCCCCCTCTAGCAGTGCAGATGTGGGGATGCATCACCTTCCAAGAGATCCCCAAAAGAGATGCCTATCTCCCCCCCTCCAAAAAAGGGCATTATCCTTTCTCCCTCCCTGCCCCTATGTGCAGTGTCAGGGGGCCATTTCTCCAGTGAGTATCCCAAAAAAGCAGCCACCCATGTATATCTGTGGGGGAGGGGGTGATGGGAAACAGCCTGCTCATCCTGGCTCCATTCCCAGTTGTCCCCCTCCCTTTTCTTTTTCCCCTGCAGGAGGTTCCAGGAACAGGAGTCCCCACCTGCCCCCACTGCACACCCCACAAGCAAAGAGTCCAAGGGCTGCCCCTGCTGTATCCTCTAGCAGGGCACTGGAGGGATCCACCCCTCCCCCACGACTTTCAACCCTGGCACCCAGAAAGGAAAGGGAGATCCCTCCCTGAATCCTTGGGGTGCTGGGGGGATGGTATTACAGCAGCAGAGGGGTGCAACAGCAGGCTGAGAGGGGCTGGCCTGCCAGTGTTGCATGTAAATATCTATAAATAGGTGTT